CACAGCTGGGGCAGAGCCGGGGAAAGGGGGAGCCGCCAGGGTGACTCCTGCCCTCCTACCTGCCCGGGGGCCGGGAGCCGGAGGCTCTGCCTCCGCGCTGCCCGGGGTCGCTCTGTGGCTGCGGCTGCCCCTGGCTCGGAGCCCCCCGGGGAAGGGAACGCGCTTGGGGGCGACCCTGGAGGGGAGCGGGTTTCCGGGGCTGAAGGGTCCGCAACTCCCCCGGCCGCCCCGGCCGCTGGGCCCCACGTCCCGCGGGCTCGGGTCCCAGCGCCGCTGTTGGACATTGAAAGGCAACCGTGTCCGAGCCCAGGCCGGCCTCCTGCGAGAGGGCTGAGGGCCAGGCGGCACGGCCTAGTAGTTAGATCCAGGCTCAGGCTCCCTGTGGGGGCAAGTCCCGAAATCTCTCTGTGCCTCGATGGGCCTTAGCCGGGGGATTGTCAGGATCCAGGGGTGGGACGGCCCAGTGCTGGGGAGGCAACAGGGGCCCGGGGAGGAGTTCACCGAGCCCAGGCCGGCCTCCTGCGAGAGGGCTGAGGGCCAGGCGGCACGGCCTAGTAGTTAGATCCAGGCTCAGGCTCCCTGTGGGGGCAAGTCCCGAAATCTCTCTGTGCCTCGATGGGCCTTAGCCGGGGGATTGTCAGGATCCAGGGGTGGGACGGCCCAGTGCTGGGGAGGCAACAGGGGCCCGGGGAGGAGTTCAGCTCGAGAGCCGAAGCCCCGTGAATTTCTGTGCTGCGTTGGGGGGGGCGGGTTGGCGCTGGAGAGCAGCAGAGCCAACCCAATGGGCCGGTCCCTGGAACGGGCTGGGGACCCTCCCTCCTGGGGCTTAGCCGCCCCCGAGGGAAAAGGATTCAACTCCTGCCCTGTCTAGTCTGCAGCCAGGGGGGTCCTGCATGCTGGCGGCCTCCTTGTGAGGGGTCCTGGGGGGCAGCTGAGCTCCTAAACCCGGCCTCATCCCGGTCCCCCTAGGACGTCCCCTACTGCCCGTCACAACCCTCCAGAGCTTCCCGGCAGCTGCTCCAAAAGACAGAGCTGGGACCACTGGGTCTATGGACGCCTTTTGCAGTATTGGGCCTATGACACACAGCTGAGCCATTCTGATTCCATCCAGTAGGGTCAACGGGGCAGGGACACACCAGCCAGGGGCTGAAGTGAACCCAACCAGGGACACAGCTGCTC